CCGAGTTCGCATATATATTTCTGTGTATAAACCAAGCCACAGTATTAATAAACATTTTTTAAAAACTAATACGTGGAGTGACCTTCCCCGTATATACGATCCATCGTTTTGGTGCCTCCTGTGAGGTCGTTCGCGAGGCGAACGCGAGCGACAGTGCAAAGAACAAGATTCCATCGACCGACGACCTTTCAACCACTGGCTTCCATCCACGGGTGGACGAGATTCAAGAGGCGATCGAGGCTGGGCAGACCACGCAGCGAGACGAGATAACGGCGAGTACAGTACACTCAGTCTTAGTCAAATTACCGATCAAGCAATATCCTCTATCCTTAATCAATTAAATACACAATGGCCGAAAGAATCAGAGTAGTTGTTCAAAAACGAACAGCCCTAAAGGCGCAAATTACGGGTTTAACGAACATGCTCGAAAAGGAACGACAAAGTCGATTCGATAAAGCCGCGTTAAAATTGCGCATGGCGCGTGTCACCGAACTTTACCACGCGTACGAAGAACTTCAGGACGAATTAGAGTTATTAGACCCGAGCGAAGGTCATAAGCACGAATTCGCAAACGTCCAGGAACGATTCTATGCTCTCGCGGGCAGAATCGAAGAATTAACGAATCCCGCGGAATCGGTTGCGATCGCCGGTCCTTCTACCGCGCGTGATGCTTACCCCTCCGTCGACGCGAGCACCGCGGCCGCCGTGAAACGAAAGACAAGGCTACCCGAAGTATCGTTACCTAATTTCGACGGCCGGTATGAAAATTGGCTCTCATTTAAAAACGCCTTCATTGCGATGATAGACTCTCGAAGGGATATATCAGATGTAGAAAAATTGCAATATCTACGAACGGCTTTGACGGGCGAAGCAGCCAACAAAATAAAAATCTTAACGATCGAAAGCGCGAATTATAGCAAGGCATGGGAATTACTAAAGCGCGCGTACGAAGTAAAACGCATTCTGATCTCGCGCCATCTTTCGCTGCTTAGAAATCTCCCCGTTTTAGAAAGGGAAACTACCGAAGGCTTATCGAAGCTCGCCGATGATACGCAACAACACGTCGCGTCCCTAGCCTCGCTGGGGGTCGACGTGAACTCCGAGATGATCGTCAATGTGTTAGAGAGCAAATTACCGAAAAATACGGCGGAAAAATGGGAGGAATCACTTATGCTGGATGAATTTCCAAAGATCGACGATCTATACGAATTTCTATACCGAACCGCAGTTCGCGTGTCTAAACGTACGCGCCCGGAAGCGTTAAAGCGAGACGACGAAAAGAATTCGCCCTCCGTTAAAAGGGGACGATTCCCCAACAAAGCATTCGTGGTCAATACGAAGTATAATTGCGTGGCGTGTAAAAACGGACAACACCCATTATTCAAATGCGGAAAATTTAAGCAATTCGATGTCTCTAAGCGTATGGAAGTCGTGAAAAATGCTAGGCTCTGTTACAATTGTATGCGTTCACACAGAGGCAAGCCTTGTACTTATACCGGTTGCACCATATGTAACAAACGACACAATACGTTATTACATTCAGACAAATTTCCGACGGCAACGTTAAAAACCGATGCGACGGATTCGAAGGCCGAAGGGTCCGCATGACTAATAGAGAAGTCTAAAAATTATAACGCGACATGTCTTGCATCTCTTTCGCCTACCTTCGCGCCGCAATTAATGGCCACCGCGACTATATTCATACAAGATCGCGAACGTAATCTGATTAAATGTCGCGCGTTATTAGACACATGCGCCACGGCCAGTTTCATTTCCGAAAGTTTCGTAAGACGTTTAAAACTGCCCGTAACTGCGTGCTCGTTGCCTATCGGCGCGATTAATTCTATGAACACCGTATCCAAGGGCGTTATTCGAATCGTTATTCGATCTCTATACAGCGAATTCAGCAAAGAGTTAATATGTTTATCTATTCCCACTATATCAGATTTAGTGCCGGCTGAAATCTTTCCACGAGAGACTCTCAAAATACCGCATAATATACAACTAGCCGATCCGGAATTTCACTTACCGCGTCCTGTTGACATATTAATCGGCGCCGGGGCAACCTTGTCTTTATTCTCGATCGGTCAAATTAACTTGTCGCGAACAGATTGCGATTTATATCTGCAGAAAACGCGTTTTGGCTGGGTCGTGGCAGGCGGGAGCGCATCGCAAGGTCATACAAAGGGCGCCACATGTTCATTAACTGACGTACAATTAGCATTAGATCAGCAAATCGCTAAATTTTGGACAATTGAAGAGATAACGAGTAGTTCCCCGAAATCGTCTGACGAGCGCGAGTGCGAAAGCCACTTCGCGGAAAATGTTACCCGCGATAGCAACGGACGATACAGGGTACGATTACCATTTCGTAAGGGCGACATACGTCTCGGTAAATCGCGGACGGCCGCTCTTAAACGTTTATATTCCCTCGAGCGTAAGCTCGATTCAGATCCGGAATTGAAGTCGGCTTATTCGCAAGTCATACAAGAATATCTAGATTTAAAACAAATGTCTCCTGTCGACGATTCCCCCGATGACGGATTTTATATGCCGCATCACGCCGTGATTAAATCTTCGAGCAGTACTACTAAAGTCCGCGTAGTATTTGACGCGTCGGCAAAAACCAGTAACGGCTTATCTTTGAACGACATATTGTTAGCAGGACCTACTATCCAAGACACATTGTTTGCTCAGTTGCTTCGTTTTCGTACGTACAAATATGTGCTATCTGCCGATATAGAAAAAATGTACCGGCAGGTATTACTTCACGAGGACGATCAGAGATACCAGCGCATTCTCTGGCGGCAGGATAATCAAATCAAAACTTTTCAGCTTAATACCCTTACATTCGGCGTGTCTTCTTCGCCTTTTCTTGCAATACGTACCATTCATAAACTCGCGGACGACGAATACGACGGATTTCCTAATGCCGCGAGAATTCTTAAATCACACTTATACGTGGACGATCTACTGACCGGTACGAACAACGTCGACGAGGCCCGTCGGTTGCGGGACGAGATTATCGCGTTATTATCGCGAGGCGGTTTCAATATCCGACAGTGGGCTTCGAATGAAAAACGTATCATTGAAGATCTAAATCCCGATGCCGTAAACTCGAACCTCGTGCTCGACAAAACCAACACGTTGAAAACGTTAGGGATATCGTGGTGCACGCGCGACGACGTGCTGCGTTACTCGGTACGCTCAATTAATTGCGCCGGTAAGGTCACAAAACGAATCGTTATCTCGGAAATTGCCAAGATCTTCGATCCTTTAGGCATTTTAGGACCTATTATATTATATGCTAAAAAATTAATGCAGGATTTGTGGCGATCTAAGTTGGAGTGGGACGAATCCATTCCTCTTAGCATACACACCGCGTGGATCGATTTCGCGACGCAGTTAGATTCGATTACTAAGTTATCTATCGATCGCCCAGTAGTAATTCCGGATTATACCGACGTTCAAATTCACGGTTTCTGTGATGCAAGTAATGTAGGCTACGGCGCTTGTTTGTACATTCGCTTGAGCGACGGACACGGCAATATACATTGTCGCATTTTATGCGCTAAATCGCGAGTCGCGCCTCTAAAAACGGTAACAATACCCCGTCTCGAGTTGTGCGGTGCTCTTTTGTTGGCCAAGATATACAGCGAGGTGCGCAAAGCGGTAGAGTTACCCTTTAGTAAGGTAATATTATGGACCGATTCGACTATCGTGTTGCATTGGGTGAGGACTTCGCCTCACCTTTTAAAGACGTACGTGTCTCATCGCGTTGCTCAAATCCAGGAACTTACTCACACTCAGGCCTGGCGACACATTCGGTCAAAAGATAATCCCGCCGATGCGCTCTCAAGAGGCCAATTACCGAACGCCTTTCTAAATAATCAATCGTGGTTCTCGGGTCCGTCGTGGTTAGCAAAGGAAGAAAATATATGGCCAAACGGAATTACAGAATTAAAGGAAATACCAGAACTCAAAAAAAATATTTGTCTAACGACAAGCGTCGACGACTGTAGCATTCTTAGAAATTATTCGTCATATTTAAAGCTGTTGCGAGTCGTGGCATTGTGCCTCCGCTTCAGACCGAAGAATGCATATCGCGGACAACTTTGCGCAAGGGAAATAGATGACGCGGAAATTAGAATAATGAAAATTGTTCAAGCATCCTGTTTTTCACGCGAATTGAGGGAACTCACAGATAAACGATCGATAACTAAAAGCAACATCGCCGCGTTGAATCCGTTCCTCGACGAAAACGGCTTGATTCGCGTCGGCGGGCGT